GGATGAGACTTCTCAGTCTGTCGAGTTGGTGATTGAACGAATAGGTGAACAAAGTCATAACAGTTGTTTGTTTACTACATGTACTCTGTTCCTCAATATGGACCTTACTTGGATAAGATGTGCATTTAAATTGTGGCAAAGATTTTGAAAGGGAATAGTACAAATGAAGCCTAAAATTGTCAAAGTAAAGATTTGATTGAATATTTCCCTCATCTATCACCTCATTTGAGCATAGCAAAATTTGTAACTGTACGTAAAAAAGGAAAAATCAATATAAATCCTGATGCTGAAGCAAAATTTGGTTGCTTTGAATCTTGTGTTGTGAGTTAGCAATGAAACATTCTGTGTTTTGTCTCAACAGGTGGCACTATAGGAGATGTGAGGGTTACCTGGGCTGTCACTGGAGGAACAGCCAATACTGATGACTACAGGGCCAGTGGTGGTGCTCTCACATATCAGGAGGGGGAGACAAAGAAATGTAAGGACTCTGATATTACTACATTTCAACCACTTGACTGTAAATATCATAGCAGCAAAGCATACAACCTTTTTTCAATGAAATTAAGTATTTAATACCAAGGACTGACACCAGTGTCAGTGTTAAAGTCATTCGGCACCAAGGACAGACACTGCTGTTAGTGTGAAAGTCATTCAGCACCTAGGACACGCACTCCTGTAAGTGTGAAAGTCATTCAGCACCAAGGCCAGACACTCCTGTCAGTGTGAAAGTCATTCGGCACCAAGGGCAGACACTCCTGTAAGTGTGAAAGTCATTCAGCACCAAGAACAGACACTGGTGTCAGTGTGAAAGTCATTCGGCACCAAGGGCAGACACTCCTGTAAGTGTGAAAGTCATTCAGCACCAAGAACAGACACTGGTGTCAGTGTGAAAGTCATTCAGCTTTTCAAGAGAAAGCCTTTTTCCTATGGACATCATACACTTAAGGAGACCAGAGTCAGAATATTTAGAATTAATGGATTTACTCTTATTGCAGACATCATCGTTGGAATAGTTGATGATGTCATTCCAGAGGTCACTGAGACAATTTATATCCAGCTGCAAAATCCCCTCGGTGGGGCCACCATTGACCCTGCTCAGTCTTCATTCACTATCTCTGTTCTGGCCAATGACAATGTGGCTGGACGAGTAGGGTTCAGTACCAACTCCAGGTCTATCCTTGGGCAAGAAGGCAAGCATTCCTATAATTTCATAATTTACTAGTTGTAACAATCTTTTTTCATGTGTTCTGCTAGGTAACAGTATGAAATGTATTCAATTTGATTAAATTGGTGGAACCAAAAGTCAACATTCAATGCCATTGCTACTATGGCCCATGCAGTCAGCTTTACTATGTTACATGTGTCACGGACAGTGTAAGCGCATGATAAAAGTACACTGAATTTTTAACTAGGCTGTATTCTGACGTATTGTATGTTACACAGGCCAAGCCCTACAGCTGGAGGTGGTGAGGAACTCTGCTGCAGGCAGGGTGACTGTACCCTGGCACATCGAGGAGAGGGAGAGAAATATTCGGGACCAGGGATTTGCTGAAGTTAACGGAACTGTTGTGTTTGAAGATGTAAGTTAAGTGTGATGTTTTGTGATAGTTACATACTGATTGTTCATTGGATTACCACATTTATTAAATGTAAATTAAACATTCAGCAGCAGAACCTGTGGCTTTTGACTAATTTCAGATTTCTCAGCTGTCTAAAATGTTTGATGTAATTTTACAGCGCGAGGGACTACTAAATATGTTTTAGATTAAATCTCATGAATTATGGTTTGTGTTGCTTTCAGGGCATTTTCTCTGTTAACATCACCCTTCATGTCCTCGATGACCAAATCCCTGAGACAAATGAGGAGTACCAGATTATACTGAGTGATCCACGAACAGAAGGTGGGGAAAATACCATTTAGTAACAGAAACATGTCAAGTAGCTAATTTCTCTCTCATTGTAATGATTGTCAATATAATGTTACAATCACATGGTGGCAGAAATAACTCTTAGACTAGTGCCCTGTAAAAAAGCATGTCTAGATCCAAAGTCTTTTTCTTTGCCACATTGATTTCATTAATCAGTTGTGAGCCATTGTGCTGCATGTTGCAGGTGTGACCGTAGGAGGGAATGCTGTGCTGGACCCGGTGGGCTCCACGGCTGTCATCTCCATCCTGGCCAGTAATGAGCCACACGGAGTGGTCGGGCTGGCAGCTGGCTCTAGACTGGTCTCCACGTCGGAGGGCAACAAGACTATTCAGCTGTTCCTGGACAGGAAGTTTGGAGCCATTGGTAGGTCTAACTTGTCACCCCTTGCTTTAGATTATATAGTGTATTGACTTGGCACATTAAACAGGACAGTATGAAAAGGATTTTACAAGTCCTGAAAATTGCATTATTTTTTCATGGCTGTGTGTTCATTAATGTTATTTTCCTTCTACAGGTACTATTCGTGTACACTATGAGATCATAAATGGCAGCACTGTTGTCCTGAATCCTGAAGTAGCCCTGGCAACTCCCATGGAAGACTTCACTGCAGAAGTGGGATACGTTGATATGACTGATGGCATGACATCCACCACCATTGGCATAGATATACTGGAGGTAATAGGCATTCAACATTCAATGTCGTTCTCTTTAATGTTGTATTTGTTGTCAAACTCATGTTGGCCTTCCTTGACCATGAAGACAAAATGGAACTGAATATGTTGCTTTAAGTAGTAGTAGTTGATTATTAATTCTAAAATTCATATTATAACTTTCTCTGTGTCAGAAGACCTTGTTAATTTTCCATGTGTGCATATTACAGGACGACATTCCAGAACTTGTAGAAGTTTTCCTTGTAAACATCACGGAAGTCCAGCTCATCCACCCAAATACTTCCACATACCCTCCACAACTTGGTAAGGTTTTGAGCCAATCTTATTTTTGAATTTTTTTTTTTTTTGCTGAATTGATTGCTTCTTATGATGCTTCTTATCCACATCATGACAATCATGTGCTGTTTGTATCTCTTCCAGATGCAGGGAGAACCTTAGCCACAGTGTCTATTGATGCTAATGATGGGACAAAGGGTGTCATGATTTTTCCATCAGGCAGTGCAAGGTATTGTGTTAGATGGAACCTCCACAGTAACACAGTTGCTCTGGTTTATCTTTTACTTAAAGCAGCCATTCCTTGAGTATACCCTCTCTCTTTAATCTTAGTATGTATTTGATTAACCCTTCAGGTTATTATCTTTGACAACCTGCAGTTTCTGTATTTCACATTGAAATATGTACATGTAAGTAATAACACTATAGTCATTAAGTGATGTCTATACTGTATTTGCAGTATTTTTGTGGAAGAGCGTGACCAGAACCTGACACTGATGGTGCTGAGAGACAGAGGCACCTATGGGGAGGTGTCTGTCATCTACTATCCTCAGAACAGGCAAGCCTCTCTGGGAGACGACTACTTCCTGGATACTGAAGTAAGTTTCTGATAGTCTGAACTATTGATCCTCTTGATGTTACATTTTTCAAATTTGTTGCAGCATTTTTTTAAATTTTTTTTTATACAAACCGGAAAAGTACTATTCACTATAATCAATCCTCTCCCACCAGCCTAATATATAATATACATTAAGCCATACATATCATAAATTGTAAAATACAAACTATTGACTAACTTGTTTCTTGTCTTTGCAGACCCTGTTCTATACAGATGGTGAAAACCTGCAGAACATCACTGTCTCTATTTTTGACGATGACATCCCCGAGGGTGACGAGGTGTTTGAGGTTGTCCTGAGCCTGCCTTCTCCAGGACTGGAGCTGGGAACACCAAGCAAGGGTCAGTATGAATGCAATCTGGCACAGTTGCAAGTCTCTAATATAAAGATATTTGGGGGAGAAAAAAGCTCAAAATCTGTGTACAAAATTGACACAGAAGATACATTGAAGATAAATATAAAGATTCAAAGGAACTGAGACCACATGGACCATTGATGGCAGTGAGAGTGGAACCTATGTTAGAGACTTAATAATATGTCTTTTCCGTGGTAGAATGAGTATTGAGCAATTATACCAGTACATCTACCAGCTCTTGAGTATGTCAAGCTTACAAATACATCAAGAATTCTTTGTCTTACTCCTACAGCCATCATCACCATTTTGGCTAATGATGATGCTCAGGGAATCATATCATTTGAGTCACCTGCCAACATATCACTGGACGAGGCCACCTCAGAGTCCACAGCCAACAGTGTTGCCCAGTTACGCATCGTCCGTGGACCAGGGACATTTGGAGAGGTGACCGTGCAGTACACTGTCAGACACTTGGATGGGTCTGCAGGAGTCATGGACCTTCTGCCCACTGATGGTTTTGTCAGATTCCTGCCTATGGAGGATGTGGCGGTGAGTAGGAATCATCTTGAATATCATTGTTATGTTATCTAACTAATAGTATGGTGATAGTTTTTCTCTAATTCACCATACATTTGCCAGTGAACACGGTCTTCATTAGCTGAAGAATGTATTTGGACTTTGTGCCTTACAATAAGTTATTGAAATCTTGAATACTAATAATAAAATGATGATGATAATCACAATCAGTATGCTGTAAGATTTTCTATCCGTACTTTGTGGACTGTGTTTACATGCTTTTTAAAGCAGTTGAGTACATGGTAGATTTAGTATGTAGGGGATCAGTAAAATACATATATCGTGATTGTGTCCTAATTTTTAGGGTCAATGCATTACCAATGTTTGTCTCTTTTCTTTCTTCAGATTTTGGAAATCTCAGCTGTGATGGACAATTTGCCTGAGTTTGCAGAGACCTTTGTGGTGACTCTGCTGGATCCAAGTGGAGGAGCCAAGCTGTCAGACATGACGACTGTGTACATCACTGTGGAGGCTAATGATTATCCCTATGGCAGGATTGATATCTATCCTTCAAATCTGCCAAATAGGTGAAAGATCTCAAGTCATCTTATTTGTTTGGATAGATGTACAAAATGTTGGTTGTGGAAATAGATTAATACTTTTAATAATTGATAAATTGATACAATGCTTTAAACCATTCCAAAAATTATTTCAATGAATCTTAACACAATGTCTACTTTATTGTGGCCTACCCTGGAGAGAATGTTACAGTCAGATTCATTGAATGTTAATTACATCTCGACAGGACATCCGTGTTGGAGGTGGAGGAAGATGTTGGTACTGTGAGCCTCCAGGTTGAGCGGTCCAAAGGCATGCTGGGAACTGTGTCTGTGAGGTGGCAGACCAGGGATGTGTCTGCTGTCAGTACAGGTACATCAGTCATCAATCTTAACACACAAGCCATGACATAATGCTCATAGTGTTATCAATAAACCGATTTATCAGTACAGTTTTAATCTATTTTAAAACCTAAATTTATCAACTTGAAGATAATACTGTAGCACGAGGAGAAGCACTGTTGTTATACTTTTTGACTTCACCTCTGTCTCAAACTATCTGATGAAAGAAAGTGATGATCTTGCACTATAAGTCAAACATATTTTCTTGGATCTGTTTCAGCTGGAAGTGACACAGTCCTGGCCCTTGCTCAGACCTTTGAGGGAAGGGGAGTCAGAGACTTCCACACTTTCACCTTTGACAGTGAGACTTATTTTGTGGTGGTCAGTGATGACCAGAAGGGAGCTCTGTCCAGTCCAGTTGGGAGTGATGGTTCATCAGATGAGACACAGTTTACCCTTACCACACTGTACAAGTGGCAGGGAGCCTTTGTACCTGTTCAAGTAAGTTTTTCTTTGCATGGATGTTGTTAGGCAATAAGCATGGACATTAGGCAGTTGCTTTTTGCATGTGATTAAAGTTTTGCCAAATTATAGTAACTTATGCATGTGTGTATCATGGCTTTTAAATTGAGCCTTCCCCTATCAATGTCTATATTTTCTTCCAGACCATTGAGACTGATGGTGGCAGTAGCTGTACATCATTCACCATAGATGGGACCAGGTACCTGGCTGTGGCCAACTACGGCAGTGCCGGTCGCTTCCAGGCCATGTCCAGGATATATCGTGTCACTTCTAATGGAACACTGCTCGTGGTATGATATGTTCATAATGTTCAAATAAAAACTTTTAGAGATCATTTTGATAATAATTATCATCATTCTACATACATGTAGTTTGTCTAGTCATCCTTTGTATACAACAAACTTGTTTTTTTAGTAGTCTTGAAAAACTGTTCAATTTCAAACTTATACTCAGCGGTGTGCTCATTTCCTTTCATAGGTGCAAAACATGAATACTCTTGGTGCACGAGACATTGTTTACTTCAGGTCAGCTGACTCCCACTACCTTGTTGTGGCAAACTACATGGACAATGCACAGCGGACCAACATCAACTCACAGGTACTTCACTCGTGAAGAAGAAGTGAATAGATTCTAGTTATCAATGACTATTTTACTGTTTGTACATAAATCATAAAAAAATAATAAAAATGATTTGTCAGCCTTGCCTATGCACTTATGACAAGATCTATTTACAAGTTTTAAAATGTCTTTTTTTTATTGACAGGTGCTTCAATGGACAGCAGGACAGTTTGTACCTGTTCAGGGTATCCCAACTTTTGGAGCATCAGCACTAGAAATTTTCCAGATTGGAAACCAGCTATACCTGGCTATTGCTAACCACTATGACTCATCACAACAGAATTTCCAGATCACGTAAGTTCCATAATGTTACATTTGAATCTCTTTCAGGGTTTATTGTATCTTATGTTTTTCACCATGAGAGTAACATAATTAATAAGTTAACAACATTAATAATATGTTTACTGTTTACTGAGTTACATTTTACCAACAGCACACAAAAAGAGAAGTAGTTATCATTTGTTAGATGAACAGATTTGTTTTACTAAATTGTCCATATCTTTCCAGATCTGCGATATATCGTTGGAGTGGTAGTGGATTTGATACAAGTAACCCCCAGAGAATCAATACCTTGGGAGCAACAGATGTGGAGTCCTTTCAAATCAATAGTGACACTTATGTGGTGTTCACCAACAGCAGAGACAACAGTAAGTGTGCAAAATTGTTTGTATACACATGCTTATGAACGGCACTGTCCTTGGTGCTGAAAATCTTGCATACATGCTTTCTAATGATACATGTGTTGGATGATTGTTAATTTGTCACTTCAGAAACAGTTCAAACTCAAAATTCAGAATAAATAGGCAAATTCAAATGTCACTGGAGATCAAAGGGAAATGAGAATTCATAGACTGTTTTCATTGTTTTACAGGTGGCACAACTTCAGTGACCTCTATTGTGTACAAGTTTGACTCTCAGTCATCCAGGTTTCTAGTCCACCAGAACATCGACACCTACAATGCTCGTACTGCTCAGGTGTATGATGCACCTAGTGGACTGGGTAAGGTCCCCTCTTCATCAGGTGATGTCCAGTTTTCTTTCCTTTGAACAGACAATATCTTCATTTAAGAAGATAATGACATTTTCTTTCACTTCCAGAACACTTGGTTATTGCCAATGCAGACAGTGCCTCTGAAATCTTTGTTTGGAACAGCATTGACAACTTGTTTACAAAGGTTTGTTCAATCTTGTATGTAATGATGTATCGGATATGTTTCTAATGTACAGGGTATGTAGCAGTATTTAATAGGTATAATTATATGCTAAGTTGACCACTAACTTAGCCCAAATTTTCCTCATGGAAACAGGTATAAGTATTATCAAAATGCATGGCTGCAGCAATTTCTAGCTAATATGTTGTATATGTTAGAGTTTATCATAAGATTATATTTTCCCTAGTGTTTTTTTGCTACACAAAGTCTACATCAGATAATGAAAAGCAAATGCACAACAAATGTCTAATCAATTTGTTGCCTTTGCACAGCTTGTAGATGGCCCACCCTGCTACAGTCTATACCCTGTCATTGCCCCTAACTACGATGGTGGGAGGACAAGTCTACTGGCCTGCGCTAACTATGGTGATGGATCCATGTCACTCACATCCTCTGTCTTTGAGGTGACAACAACAGGGGAGGGGTCTGACTTCATAGCAAGGTGAGGTTTTGATGATAGACAAATTAGTCTTGTATGTGATCAGAGTAAATCTAGCATTTTTCTTCTAGTTGGTAACTGTCAATATGTTCCTTAAAATAAAATTCCTCTTGCCTACAAACTTTGCAGATGGGGAGAGCTGACCTTTGAACCTGACATGAGAACTCTGACTGTCATCATCCCCATTGTCAATGACGAGATCCCTGAAAGTGACGAGTCTTTCACCGTCATCCTGACTGATCCGACTGGTGGGGCTGAGATTGGCAGTTATGGGGAAGTGACTGTCACCATCCTATCCAATGACAACGCACATGGAATAATAGGATTTGTGGAGGTATTTTGATGCTTTCTATTCCAAGAAATACAAAATATAACTATCATTAAACTTAGAATAAGTAGATTTGTGTATTGTTGTCAAGAAATTTTACAAGCTGATGTAACAGATAATGGTTACAAATGCCATAACATTACTCTGTTATAGGATCAGTTGGAGACTGAGGCAGAGGAAACAGCCAGTGACAACACAGTGAGTCTGACTGTGGAGCGTCTCCAGGGAACTGTGGGGCAGGTCATTGTCAACTGGGAAGCCTCGCGGGACGCTGCAGCTGATATCAGCCCTGTGTCAGGACAGGTGTGTACATCAACTTCTGTAGCAATCTCAAACTAGAGTTGAACAGCATCACCTAAGCTTGTATTTTCTTGCACTTCAGCCGTAAGTCATCCCCTTGGAGGTCAGTAGTTGATATCATCATCTTCTGGCTTGTACATTTTGATATTTTTTTATATTCTGGCTTGTAGATTGATGAATGTATCTACAGTACTGAAATGGACATTTTACCTGTGATGTTTGAATGTGTTGTATTGTATACATCTTAGGTTGTGTTCCTGGATGGAGAGCGGTACAGTGTGCTGACATTGTCAATCTTAGCAGACTCCTTACCAGAGCTAGCAGAATCTTACATCATCACCCTCACTAACATCACTGAATCTGGAAGCCAAAGACCAGGTAAGTACATTTGATTGTTTGTCTAGAGGATGATGCCAAGATAAGATATAATTGTAGCAGTGTTTACTCTTGAAGCAGTGTTGTTCCTGAAATGTTAATTAGTATAATATATAATATACCCGTTTTCCGTACTTGCTAGATCGAGGGTCACAACTTAATCCAGAGAGGTCCTCAGTGTTGCTGACCATCCTTCCTAATGACTCGCCACATGGGGTGGTGGGCTGGACATCAGACTCCCTCCGGGTCATTGTTCCTGAAACAGAAAGACAATCAACAGTCACTCTGACCATAGGAAGGGACCAGGGCACACTGGGGGATCTACAAATTTCCTACAGGTATCTAAGTCCTAGAAATTAGAAATGTCATCATCATTCTCTTATTAATATAATAATTAAACTAAATATGCCAGAAAAAAAAAGCAATTCAGAAATCATCCTACAGACATTTAAAGTAAAGAGACTTCTGAATCCTTAACTTTCCTGATTGCTTTCGTTGCTTTCTATATCTTTTATGAACTTTTATGAACTAACTCTGCTTCCTTCCTAGCACTGCAAGTGCCAGTGGCCTGAACCTGCCTGTGTCAAACCTGGCCACACCAGGGCAGGACTATGTGTACAAGAGTGGGTCAGTCATCATGAGAGAGAACGTCACACAGGCTACTGTTACTGTGGACATCCTGCCGGTAAGTCAATTAAGCCACAACAGTTACTGTACATATACTGATGTCCATTCCCATAGCATGCCACTTTTCTAACCCATAATTCCATGTAAATGTACAAGAAGTATCAGAATTGCACCATTCTAGAGATGTAATTACCTGTTAAGCATGATCTGATTGTCAAATGTCTGGAGAATCTCCCTCAGCTCCCTTATGTTATACTTGCAAAGGGCACCATTACATTAGATATTAACTAATCAGCACCAAAATTCCTGTCTCCAGATAGAATACACAGGTCACTGACTTGTAAAAAATGTTCAATAGATATTTGTCATGTCATATGTACATTTTTGTACTTTGTATGTCAAATTACATGTACTTTAGTTCAGTTGGCTTCTTTTTCTCTTGTACCAACATTCTGTGCTATGGAATTTATAGGAGTTTGGACAGGTAAGGAAAGTTCTGCATCCATGCAAATATTCTACACTGGGTTACAGCATGCTCACCTGTACATGTGTGACAACAGATCTCAGACTCTGCCCAAAGTGCATTACAAAATGCACGTTACAGTAGCCATGAACACAAAAACATGTATCAATGTTGCACCAAATGGATGTGGCATCACATTGCATTTTATGATTATGCACATTCTGCAAACCTGCACATACCTCTTGAAACCCTGATCACAGTATCAGGTATGACACGTGAACATTTCTGAATAATACCTTCCACAAACCTGCATGATACTCATTGAAAGATGTTGACTACACTTTAAAAGTTATTAAGTTTTTAACAAACTAACTTTTAACTCATGCTGTTGATAATATTAAGCTAGTTTCAGTGTTGTCTTGTAACTGTGCATGGTGTGTTTTATTCTCTAGGACAATGCTCCTGAGGGTGACGAGACCTTCCTGATGAACATCACGTCTGTGCAGCTGTTAGGCTCCAGCCCCTTCGACTATGGACCTGGTATCCGCAGGCCTGGTCTGGAGTTTGCTGAAATCATCATCGATGAGAATGACGATGCCCAGGGGTACCTTCAGTTCAATGTCACAAAGGTAGATTACACACAACTGCTCAGTATTTATTGCCTATTGACTAAAGACAAGTCAATATAAGATATATGGGTATCCTTTCCTATAGGAGAATAGTATATCATATAATATTGGATGCAGCATTATTAATAATGGGCTTTTGATATAATGTACATGTAGGTTCCACACATCAATTTATGTTGAATTTCATCATTCCTTCTTTAGGATGATCATAAAATTGTAAGATAGAGCATCATTTGTTTTGCCAAAAAGCATTACTCAAGCAACTGGATATGATTTTGGAATCATATCCAGTTGCTTGAGTAACTGCTTTTTGGCGTATCGTATTACCTGGATGTCTAACCTTCATCGACACATCATTTGTTTTGTAACAAATGTTGTCCTTTCACAATGACACCAAATTACAAAATTTAATTCTTACCTGTTTTGCCTACTTCCTATAGAATGCCGATGGTCATGTGGAGACATATGAGGGAGCAGGGACGGCCAGTATCCTGCGTCTGGAGGTGATCCGGGTGGTGGGGATGTTTGGTCCTGTCAGTGTGGACTGGGTGGCCTCGCCTGGCACAGCACGGCTGAACGAGGACTACAGACCCGCATCTGGCACCATCAGCTTCCCTGATCTCAGCACATCACAGTACATAGACATCGTCATTGTGGATGATGATGTTCCTGAGTTTCCAGAGGTACGACTATTGGTTTCTGTTGTGGTCGCCACACCACATTTAGGACATGATTCGTACATAGTACAGTACAGTCTTGTATCACATTGTTAATTTTCTAAATAACATTTCAGCATGATTCTATAAAGTGATGAAATTTTTCTTCCCTTGTGGCAAAGTGAAATATCTTAAGTAAGAACAAACTTAAGTTACTTTACATTGTAACCAAAATGATTACTTTCAATTTCGTAGCACTTTTTTCTAAAAGCACAATTGTTTCTAAAAGTTTTCCAGTAACTGATCAGACTGTTCGTGTGACTACTTGTATTTTGAATGTTCCCCAGACATTTAACGTACAGCTGCGGAACCCGACTGGTGGGGCCAAACTTGGAGTGGAGATTAGTGTAACTGCTGTCATTCTGCAGAACGACTCTCCCTATGGACTCTTCCAGTTCCCTGAATCAGACCTAGCGGTAACCGAACTTTGAAATTTCTTATCCTGTATGACAGAAAGATTTACACAAAACCCAATTTGCTATAATAATTAGATGTACCTGCCTAATAGTACTAGCAACAAAATGAACATGTAAACCAGTAACTGGCCCCTTGCTCGCTTCCATTAATTTACACCATGTTGCATGTACATGTAGTTTAGGGATCTAGACACCAAGATCTAGATACCAAGTCCTGTGTCATTCACAATCTGACCTTTCCCGTGACAAGCTTCTTAATAGCAGACCCAGTCAGGTCTGTTAATTGTTACCAACTAAACAGACTGAGGCACAAAGTAAATTTTAAAATTTAATTTTTTCTTATTATTTTTTCCCTGTAGAGGAGTGTGTCAGAATCTGAAACCAACGAGGACCCTGCTGGTGTGGTGGTGTTCACTGTGGAGAGGGTGCAAGGCCTGCTGGGAACTGTACAGGTGGACTGGAGACTGGAGAGTGCAGCACAATATGACCTGACTCCCTTATTTGGAAGCCTGACCTTCTCACCAGTAAGCATGCTTCATACCCTTTTTAGACAATGTGCAATTCTGTACATACTTTACAATCACTAAGTCTTGTTTGCCATTCTTAGGTCATCATTATCTTTGACAAAATGCAAAAATCTCACCATAGCTTATAAATGATGCTATTGTTATATCTTTTTCAGTAATAAGTGTGAAGAAGAAATTAGTTACAAAGTAAACAAGGATACAGTTGAACACACAACATGTTTTCTAACAAAATTTTGTCTTGCCTTCCAGGGCCAGATGACTAGCACAATTACCCTTCGAACTTACCCAGATGACATCCTGGAGGGGGAGGAAAGATTTACCCTCTCTCTCACCAATGCCAACAATGGTGCTGAGGTCTCCCCTGTCAGAGGTAACTGGAACTACTTGAATTGTCTTGAAATGTTTTGAGAATGATTTTTGGACTGTTCATCACACACAGAAGTCTCATGTCCCAAAAAATGAGGAATTGTTTTTCAGCCATAAACTTGCAGTCCCAGAGACATTCAATTTTCATGTCTCCATTCAATGGAGACATTTGATCTCATCTGCTTTTGAAAGCACAGTGACACTTAACTAGGATAGAAGTATTTTTTTTCCACACATAAAATAAAGTTTTTTCTAAAATTGTTTTGTTTTCTGATCCACAGGAAGGGCTACAGTGATCATCCTGCCCAATACAGGGGCAGCTGGAAATGTGGCCATCGTTCCTGCATCCAGAAATGTCCTTGTGGGAGAACCAGCTGACAACTATGATGGATCAGCAAGTATCAGGTACACTTCTGTGACATTTACCTGAAGTTGTGAAATGGTCAAGTACTTTGAGATATTTCTGAAATTCCAGAACAAAGTAGATAATGGTAAGCCCATTACATTTACCAATAGTAGTGAAACATATGCTTGGCTGTGATATTTCTCTGTCTTTGTGCAATTTTTGAGAAGTACAGAATAATATAACTATTATGTATTTCCTAGTTTGACCAGAGGAGTAGGGATCTATGGGACTGTGCAGGTCACCTGGCAGCTGACACCTTCAGAGGCTGACACTTTCCAACAGACGTCTGGATTAGTGGTGTTCCAGGACAGACAACAAAACGTCACCTTTGACATACAGGTAAAACCTTGCATTTTGTGTAGCCACGACTTGTTTGAATTGTTACATTGGTGGTTCACAAAAACAACCACCCCTTCCCACAAGGCAAAGATTGAACCACCCTGGTGTAAAGAGCTATTCTATCTATGTAACACAACCTGTCCCTCTTGCATGTACATGCAGACCCGAGACGACAATGTCCCAGAGCTGAGGAAAACCTACACGCTGGAGCTGGCAGGTGTGACAGGAGGGGCACAGATTGACCAGACCTCAGACACTGCAGCTGTTACAGTTGTAGCCAGTGACTATCCATATGGCAGGTTTGAGTTCCAACATGAGAGAGTCACAGTGTCAGAGGACTTACAAGAGGTAAGGGCATTGTACAATCATGTAATTCAATAATTTCACGGTAGAAACTACCTTAAACTAACACTAAAGACTGCATACAAACTGTGCAAGGGAGCCATTCCCTCCTATTACTGCTTTTTATTTAACATGATTGGGAATTAGTTTTTGCAACATCTCAAAACATTTATTGATGTACAATGTAGGACTACAGGAAGAATAGCAAACAAAAATGGATCCAACTAAAGTCAAAGAATGAAAGATCATAATTAGTGAAATCACATACCAAAGGAGCCTCTGATCAAATTAATTGCTGTGTTCTTGACATGTTCATGACAGGTCCACATTGCCAGATGATTAAGCAAGTGTGTGTTGTTCACAGGTGGTTATCCTGGTCCTGAGGAGGGATGGGCCACTGGGGCAGGTACGCATCACATACAGCACCTCTCCCGGGACTGCTACTCCTGGACTGGACTACAGGACCAGGAATGGAGGTAAACAGAGTCATACTCAATTGCTAGGCACATTTACCATGCTTTGGAAGAATTTGCTGGACAATTTAAAAAATTCATGATGCAGAAAATGACCAGAAAAAGTGCGTACTCATGTGTATGTGTATGTGCATGTACATGTACATGTATGCTAGTATCTGAAATTTCCTTTGGAAAATTGAAAGTTTGAATGGTAATATGGTCGATATTTACAGAATTGATCTTCAATGACCAAGAGGAGTTCAAGAGCATAACTGTACAGATACAACCAGATGCCCTACCAGAGGGACCAGAGACTTTCTATGTCAACCTCACCAGCGTGCAACTCTTAGCACCAATGTGAGTATTACATGTCCACATAATGGAAACTAATAATATTATGTGATGTTAATACTAAAAATCTGGAAATTAATTGTATGGCTAATCTATCTTGATTTGGCATTAAATAAAGTTTTCAATATATCAAAATGCATTTTTTTCTTATTCCAGGGATCCCGACTTCAGTGTCCAAGAAGGTGGCCTTCAGCTGGACCTTCCACCTATCATTGGTTCCGTCTCCACTGTAGAAGTCACCATTCTGAAAAATGACAATGCAGAGGGTGTCATTCAATTTGCAGCAGAAGCTTTGGACTTTGCAGGTGACTGTTAGCTTCCAAATGTTGCTTCAAACACGTACCGTTTTTTCAATTTGTTTGTAAAATGTTTTGCTAATATTGATAATTTTTGTCTGTTCTTTTCAGTGCAAGAAGATGTCAACATAGCCCGAGTGCCGGTGGTTCGCAACTTTGGGACCTTTGGTCAGGTCACAGCCAAGTACACATCCAGTGACATTGGTGCAACACCTGGAGCTGACTACGACGTGCTGGGATCTGAAGTGGTCTTCATGGACGGTCAGGATCGTGCCTTCATTGAGGTCAGGATCTATGACGATCTGATCAGGGAGTACGACGAGAAGTTTGAGCTGACCATTACTGAAGCCACTGGTGGGGCACAGCTGGGCACGGCGCTGACCTCACAGGTCACCATCTCCAGGAGCGACTCTCCCAGCGGACTGGTTGGGTTTGTAGGGGAGACTGACATTGTCATGGACAACCCATCTCGGCAGGAGACACTCACCTTCAGTATCGAAAGGTCTGAAGGGCTGCAGGGACAAATTCAGGTAAGGCTTCTTAGAATGATAAACATCAGCAAAAAATAACATCAGCATTCCAGCACCATAATTTGTTAAGTGCAGTGTAAAACATCTGTGTTAAATGAAGTGTGTCATTCTGTGCCTCAACAGGTGAGGTGGAGAATCCTGGGACCAAATTCAGACACACCCGTGCAGGTGACCAATGACCTGATGCTGACAAACAACCCAACAGCACAAGTCCTGGAAGGCGTGTTCAACTTCAATGCCAATGAAGGAGGCCCCTCCTCCAGGAAGAGCTTTCAGATCACTGTCCAGCCTTACCCTGGGCCAGAAGTACAGGAGGTCTTCAACATTGTTATCTATGAAGTGGTTGGTGGGGCTGACATTGACCAAGCAAAGGACAACATTACACTCACTGTAAGTAAAGAAAATGCTTGATATACAACTTAATGTATCTGTCAGACATTGAATTAATTAAGTGTAAAATAGGAGTTTTGAAGAAATCTCTACACAAATGTTTGTTCCTAAATGTTTGTTCTCTAAATAATAGGGGCACTGAAAGGTGTTTGTCATATCTTGTAAATGGAGTTAGCTGTCTGTAGTGTAGTGTATGTGCCGTTGTGTTTTCTTCCTTACCCTGGACTTTTAACTCTTAAAGTGAACATATGAAAAATAGATTAACCATGGGCTTTTTCATTATATTGCAGATTCGGAAACATGGTGACCCTAATGGAGTAGTTGAGTTTGTGGATGTAGATGACCAACAGTACACTGAACCAACCACTGATGCTGGGAGATCCATTACTCTCCCCATTATGAGAACTCTGGGGACAATGGGAAACATACAGGCAAGGCAGCCTTACATATTTTTGATGATCTTTCTATTTTTTTTTATAATTTTTTTTTTCAAATATAGACCTTGACAATAATATTGCTTTTGCACAAGTCTGTGACATGAATGTTTTGAAAGATGATGTCTTAGAACTACTAGTGACCTAATATTTTTGGGGATACTTTGCAGGTTATGTGGGAGGTCCGACAGCAGACCAGTGGAGGTGGCACCATCGCTGCCTCGGCAGATGTCAGCCCCTCCAGTGGAGTTGCCAGGTTCAGTGATGGTGTGGCTACATCAGCTGTGACCTTCACCCTGCTGCCTGATACAGTACCTGAGCTGCAGGAGACCTTCATCGTGGCACTGGTGGGAGTAGAAGGAGGTGCTGAAATAGCAAACAACAAGAACACCACAAGGTTTTTTGTGAGGTATGTTAACAGTACAGAATAATGAGATATGTTCCAAACTGACATATCATACTTAAAATGTTAAACAATCGATAAAACAAGAAGCATGATATCCTTGTAGTGATCAACTGAAGTTCATGCAAGAAACTTCATGCATGCTACTCTCTCTTTGCATTAACTCTGATCCCTTGCTTACGGTCTGTAATTTTACATGGCATTGTACTCTTTTAGTTAAGTTGACGAGGAGATTTTCTTTGCCTTAATTTTGAACTTTGTGACTACAGTGCCAATGATGACCCCCATGGAGTGTTTGCAGTGTTTGATGAGTACCAGACAGTTCTAGTGACCACCAGTCAGTCCAGGGCTGTCCGGGTGAATGTGACCAGACAACAGGGCACAGCCGGCACCATCAGGGTGGACTTTGATATATCATACTCTCAAGTAAGTCTCTATGGTAATTTTGTCTCATTTATTATTGTTGAGACAATGAAAAATGAATTATAGTAAAATTGTCCTTATATAATCTCTTGTAGCTGTGTCATGAGAGTTTCTGTTGCTACTCCTCCAGGCTGCTGTGGGGAGATCCTACACGACTGTTCCCAGTGGGTCGGTGAGGTTTGCAGATGGAGACACTTACGTAAGTTCTACCACAAGGCCTTAACAAAATACATTCCTACAACAGAATCATGGTACCTTTCATGACCATTTCTCTAATTGAAAGGTATACTGATATGTCATTTTATTCAAATGAATTATCAACATAGTCAGAATCTAACATATGTCACTCACTTTTCCCCATCAGGCTATAGAAGATGTTCCTGTCACAGAAGGGGTGTTTCTTCCAGTTGGATCAAACTTCGTTGTAACCCTAACAGATGTGGTACCTCAGGGTACACTAGGTGTGTATTTTCTTGTCTGTACAAAGTTTTATACGTGATGGGATAACTCTTTGTACAAGCATTTTTTTTGTACAGGATTCATCACTTTCTGTTTACAAGGGGTAGTTTTCTGATTATAAAATTATATGCTAACCTTTTGTGTTTTTTACAGAGTCTGGTCTACTGCCAAGGATTGACCCGAACCATAGAACTGCCATGGCTGTGGTGCCACAGGCTGCTGGCAACTCTCATATTGGCTTTGATTCCCTAGTGGTCAATGTGAATGCAGGTAAAGAATCTCTTGAAGTCAAAATGCTCTAGCCCATTTTCCTGGACTGGTCTTGTTTGAGACGTGATAGGGTGCTTGTATTTTTTCTCAAGTTCTGTTGTAACTTGTAAGTACTTACTAGTGAATACATGAAGATGCAGAACTTTGCTAGGCTATCAAAAATTTAATTCTAAACTAATTGGAACACCTTGTCACCCACATATTATATTGTAAAAATGTGGCCTGTGACGTAGTTATCCATCATTGTAAGTTTTGTTCCTCCATTTCTTGCAACAGACACCCTTCAGGCTGAGCTGACAGTGACCAGGGTGGGAGCCTACAAGCAGGTGACTGTCCACTGGCAGGCTGAGAGTCAGGAGAACCTTCCTGAAGGATTTGTTCCAGGCATAATCAGTCCTGTAGAATCCACCCTCACCATGCCTAATGGTGTATCATCTCGCAGCTTTACTGTACAGGTGAGTTGGTAGATTCTTGGGAAAGTTCATTATCTTGTGGACAATGTGGTACCTAATATATAACTGTTTTTTTCACAAAGGTATAGAATATAATGAAGCAGAAATAGCAGAACACATCAACGGGATAGTTAGTGGTTTGAAGACTGTGTTCAGCACCAAGGACAGGGAAGGTCACTTCACCACAACCAAAAATTCAGCACCAAGGACATACATGGTTCTAGTTATATAAATAGATAAACACTGTAGTTTTTGATGATCTTTGAATCACTGATTGTAACAAGACAGGTGGATACTTTACGTAATTACTATGAGTGTTAATATTGAGTACCATATCTGCCTTTGTTAATGAACAGTCAACCACAGTTTACTGTTCTTCATTTCTCCAGCTGTCACCAAGTCCTGGCACCAAGGAACTGTTTGCTGTGCGACTTACTGCTGTCACCCCTGCTGGAGGGGAGGCATTGCTCACAGACGGTCGACTTGTCGCTCAGATTGAGCCAAATGGAGTCATACAGTTTGCAGTGGACTCAAGAGAAGTAACTGTCACAGAAAATCTACAACAGGTAAATTATATTAATATATTGAATCATCTTTTTCTTCATTTACTCTACATATATAGACTGTATGGCAGTATACATTTATAGTGCCCCAATTTGTCAAAGAATTTATTGTTTGATGCAGAAATGCTAAATGAAGAAATTGGTATACTTCCAATTTTTTATTAAACAGTAACTGTTGCTGCAGACAAATTCCAAGGCTGCCTTTGCCTAATAGTATTTTTTGTAATTTGATGAATAGTCTTTAGTTACCAAATACAGTGTGCTTGCTGAAGATTGCCTTTGGCATGTTTCAGGTGTCCCTAACTGTGGAGCGTCAGTTTGGAGTTTTGAACAACACCCGAATCATGTACATGACATCATCTGGGACAGCTGTGGCAGGCCAGGACTTTGAGCCTGTCCCCAGTGGGTCCATTATCATGGAGTCAGGAGACAGGACCGTACAGATCCTGGTGCCTCTGCTGCAGGATAGCCTGAATATCCCTGAACTAGACGAGTTCTTCTATGTAAACATCACATCAGTGGAGGTGCTGCCCAGCACAAGGGAAACAGGTTGGAGATGATTTTTTAATATCTGTGATATAAGGTGATGATATCTGTGATATGGTGTTATTAAAAAAGATCTGCATTTCTTCAAAAGAATTTTCTAGTTTCAACGTTTTCTAATCATATTAATTTTTGCTCCAGGTGTGTCCCCTCGGCTGAACCCAGAGTTCTCTGTGGCTAAGATCACCATCCGGCAGAACGACAACCCTCACGGTGTGTTCAGCTTCACACAGACGGAGGTCATGACTACAGAGGACAGCACTGATGGCACAGGCACCAAGATCATCTACATCACAGTCATGAGAACAGGTCTGCATACATATTTCTTACAGCTTAGGAACTGTGTATTATTCATTTACTGTTGTCTTCTGTGATTACTTCATATGATTCATAGTTCCATAGTAAGCCTAGAGATTACAGCTATACAAGGACTACAGGAACACTGCTATCTACATGGCAATTATTTGGGGATGGGCATTTAAGAGTATAGTATTACATTCCTCATGTATCTTTGTATCTTAATATGCTAGTACCCTCTATCCACTAATTGCCATGATGGTATACTTTTGCATAATTACCAGGTGGTACATTTGGTGCTGTGAGTGTGTTGGTACGTTCCACTGGAGGAGGAGAAGCCTGGACACAGAACCCTGATGCACCAGGGCTCCAAACTGCCATGGCAGCAGACACAAGACAGAGGGTTACTTTGGGTCAGGACTACAGCTCTGGGCTAGATGTCACTCTGAGTTTCCAGGTCAGAATTAAATAGCCTATTAGACAGCTGAAATTTGGCAGATGGCCAAACAGTATTCCATACAGTTCCTTCTTATGCATTGTGTAAATTTTGAGTGAAAATTGATTACAGTAAATACATCATTGTTGGTTTGTAATTGTAGATGAAAGAATTTACCAGTTGTTCATTTTTGCTGGACCAGGACTGTTATTGGAAATATTTTCTGTTCTAATGTCTAGGAGGGTCAAAGGGAAAGCACAGTACCATTCAGCATCACTGATGACAGCCTACCTGAGCCAACAGAGGTGCTGTTTTTGTACCTCACTAACCCAACAGGAGGGGCCAGGGTAGCAGATCCCAGCACCGACAGCGGAGAACAGGTCAGTAGAACTCGGTGTTACGGTTTAGACAATTTTTGTATTACACAATTCAAGGGTGGTGCGGACAGAAATAAAATCTGGTATGAAAGAGAAAGTTTTTTAAAACTATTCTATGTATTGAATGTATTTCTGTTTTACAGGGTTATCTTACAGTAGTCATTGCTGGTAATGATGGACAGAATGGAGAGATAGGGTTCATCAGCAGGAGTCTGTATGAGGAGGTGTATGAAGATGACACCGGCTCAGTGGATCTTGTCATTGACAGGGGAAGTAACTTCTTTGAGGATGTAAGGGTAAGTGTGTGCACCTCACGAGGGCTTCAACAGCTTCATACAATGCTTCAATGTCTGTATAATCTTGATTGCATCAAGGATGTTTTTTTTAACAATGTGTACAAAGAGTGACAAAAAGACAAACTCACATTTGAATACCACAGAATATGAATGTCCATTGGCATCAAATTGATGTTTGCTGTATGTTTCTTTATCAGGTTTACTGGCGAGCAACATTCAACAAATCATCAGTGGTGCTCATCAGAAATGGGGTGTCTCTGCTGTCTGAACTGGAGGCTGTGCAGGGAGATGTGCTCTGTGTGGCTGGGATGGCCACATGTACTATCACTGTCCAACTGGTCAATGATCAAGTAAGTAGGATGTCTACAAATGTACCTACAAGTTCATTTTAGCTTAACTTTTGATGAGTAGAGAGAGCAACATGTTGGTGAGATAATTTTCACAGCACAGCTTCAAGATATCAAATTTCCCCCAATTTTGCTGGCAAATAGAATTTCAAGTGCACAGTGTCTGGTTATCACTGTATAAGTTGCATAAACTACAGCTACCACAAATCCTAACAACCTCCCATTAATCTCCCCCAACAGAAGCCAGAGTTCCCAGTGATGTTCTATGTCCAGCTGTACCAGGTTGGACCTGGTGCACAGATCAACCCTGCAGCCAGCTTTGCAGAGGTGACCATGGAGAACAGTGACTACCCGTATGGTCTACTTCAGTTTGGCCTGGAGTCCCGCTCGGTTGTTCTCAATGCAGCATCCAGGATAGCCCGGCTGATGGTCAGCAGGGAGTACGGTTTGACTGAGCAGGCAACAGTGAAGTACAGGACCCGGCAGTTGGGCACACAGACGGTCGCCGGGGTTACCTTGTACCCAGCCATGGAAGGAAGGGACTATGAACAGGCTGAAGGACAGCTGGAGTTTATTGCTGGAAGGAGTGGAGCCTCACTGGAGATCACACTCACCCCTGACACAGCATCCTCTGAGTCCTACCCTAAACGGTTCCAAGTTGAACTGTATGATGCTGATCCCCCAGAGGCCACCATCAGTAGTCAGTACGGCATTGCAGATGTTACCATTGCTGTTGATGAGTCCACAGAGGACCTGTGGGAGATCTGGGCAGAAGCTCTGAGAGACCTTTCAGACAGGAGCATTGATCAGATCTTGGAGCGTCTGGTGACAGCCAGTGATCCCGAGCTCACACAGGAACAACTAGATGTGTCCCTGAACACCATGGAGCAAATCATTGAGGAGGGAGAATCTCGGGAGTTAACTTCTGGCACCAAGACAATCATGTACGAGTTCTTCTGCAAGCTGCTCGACTCAGAGAGAAGAGACACCAGGGGTTGCTCTAAGTGTAATGAGCTTCTGAAGCGGTTTGCCTTGATGTTGCTAACAGGAGTTCCCTGCAACCAGGTCCAACCAGCCAACTTGATGTTAGACACCTGTGCCAACCTTGTAGTGTCTCCCATCCGCCAAATACCAAACAGAATCAATGGCTACACATATGAAGGCAAGAGAGGGGACTACTTCAAACTTCCAGATTCACTCCTTTCCTCTCCTGGAACACCTAATGTCACCTGTCAGGACCTGTACTTTATTGAGTACACCAGTCAGCAGTGGTTCAGTCCTGTGGACTCTCCTGTTGTCGGACAGAAGATCATCTCTGTGTCAGTGAAGAACAGGGAATTCACAAATCTCAACCCTGATGACCCTGTCAAGTACCTTATCCACACCACAGACCAACGCATCACCCCAGAAGGTGCAAGTTGTGTTACTTGGAACCCTGCGACTTCTTGGCAGGCAACCGGCTGCAGAGTTCTAAATGACAAGTCCAACTATGTGGAATGTGCTTGCACACACATGTCCGATTATGCAGCACAAGCCAAGACAGACAACCTAGCTGGATACACTAATTACGTGTACGCAGCCTGCTTTATAACGATTATTGGAATGGCTCTGACCATCCTGGCCCACCATTCTGTGCAACATGTACTCTATGTTCTCTTACAAGCTGCACATGCATCTGGCATTTGCATGCATGGCCACTCAGGTAACTATTGTTTTCTTTATAATACAAATATTTCCTTTAAATGAATGTATCCCATATGGACAACATTTTGGACTTATCGACTTATCGACTAAAAGAACATTCAATACATATATTTCCGTCCAGAATTTTCGATTATCATCTGAGATATTAGCTACTCAGATTTGTTAACGTTATCTGACATGTAACAAGTATTTTGCCTGTTTTTTTTTTTTCAGATTGCTTTTACTGTAGGAGCCTATATCAGCAGTACCTTAGACAAGGGGAGCTGTGCTGCACTTGGCATTGTGCTTCACTACTTCTTCCTGGCACAGTTTACTTGGATGTTCATACAGGTGCAATATACCTTTATTCTATGTGTAACTGACAACACTTCTTACTTATTGTACAAATTACTGATGTCAAACTTCGCAGTGTCCCTGAAATTCATAATATAATTATTTTGTATTTTTAGGCCATCAACTTCTACAGGATCCTAGTGATGAATGATGAGCACACAGAAAACAAGTACATGCTGTTCTTTGTTCTGGGCTGGGGTAAGTTTGAGTCTCATGCTTTTCTTGGAACAGGAACTGAACAGTCTGTATATTGCTGTTGGATTACTGTATGGTATATAATATTTTTCAAGCTAGATGCTTTGGTTTCTTCAGGAGATACGAGGAGATTAGAGGATACGAAATCTGTATGCTCACTTTATCATTCCTGTTGCAGGTCTTCCTGTGCTGGTGGTGGGAGTTTTCATCATCGTGGTGTTCGCTGTGTGGCAGTGGGACATCACAACACTGTATGCAGACGTCCATGGAAATGGGGACATGTGAGTACTGCAGATTATTATGTACAAATGTTCTTTGCTATTCTGAGTTTTCCATACAAATAAGTAACTTTCTGTATATTTTCCACCTATTGTTCTCTGTCATTTTGAATAAGGATAGGTAACACCAGTAACGGAAGATCAGATTGAAACACTGACACACAACAGGACAATGTGCTACATACATGTACCATTGAGGCATTTTTACATGTTACAGCTAAAATTTACCGGTACTTCACTTCTATAACAAGGGATGTAAAACATGAGATACATTTGCTTTATAAGAGAGCCTACAAGGGGGGTAGTGATTACGAATTACGCAAAATTTTCGCCGCCTATTACGAATTACGTTAAAGTCTCAGAGCTGATTACGACTTTACGATTTGCGGCTAATGTCCTATTACGAATTACGTTGATTTTTGCGGAGGCTGCCTACGAATTACGAAGTCTAAAACGGCCTGATTACACCTTACGAAAAAGGGCTTGCAGGCCCTCTTATAAGTATGTGATTAGAACAGTCTTGAATTTTTTTTGTAAT